GGGCTGAACTGTAGCTATGATGCCATGCTGCTAAAAACAACTGGCTCAGAGTCATTTATTTATTAATCAGACTACACTGGTTGTGTAGCATGTTTTTGATTGTCTAAAAAAAAAGAAGAGTCATTTGTTTGTGAATCAGTCGACTCTAGTTGCACAGTATGTGTTTGATCCTTCAAATTAAAACTACAATTATTTAAATAATCAACTTCCAAAGCCATTTTTTGGGTGTGTGGGACTTAACCCTAGCATTTCCCAGGCTGCAACCTGTGTTGTTCAGCCACGTTGACCCTGTCCAGCAATCTTCAGCTCAATCAGAATACAATTAAAGGGAAAGGTTTGTGAGGGAGAAGTACACTTTTAAGGGAACCCCAGGTAGTGGATCAATGAGAGAGCCTTTAAAAGTTAATTACTTTTGTTAGAGGAGCTCAAAGAAAAGAAGACCATTTTCTCAGTCCCTGAGCAGATCTGAGCTTTTTTCAGGCCAGTCAAGTTCTTCGACACCAAACTCCATTTTAGGCTAGTTTACTGGTGGCATGATGGCATCCTATGACTGTGTCATGTTGAAGAGTTCTTTGTGCAACCACATTCTACTGTAAATGTTTTTCCATGTGCTTGAGTTTAGAAATTTGTTGGTATTCTGTGACTTTTGAGTTTTTATGCTCTCAATTCCAGTGTTGCCATACAATAGTTAGAGCAAAAAGACAGTTGACTAACAGGGGACATAAATGTCTTTTATGAAACAAAAAATATTTTTTTTTACAGAAAGAAATGTGGTATATTGTAACATTAATTTATTATTAATAAATTATTTATATTTATTAAAAACAGAAGCATTAAAGTGTTGCCTATTTTATGAAAATTAGAAGAAAAATATTAGTAATTTTTTCATGATCATAGACAATGTCTGCCTTATTTATTGATTTATTTTATTTATTTACTTCGTATGCATGTGTGAATTTATAGTTTGATTCTGTTCATTAACAAAGGATTTCCCAAACTGGGGTTTGTGAATTAACTAGAGGGGTTGGTAAAAAAAAGTCATTAATTGAATATAAAATTTTAAAAAATATATATATTTTTTTTTAAACTGAACAATAACACTGAAAAAAGATTAAATATTTTATTTGTTTAACTGCATATTGTGAAAATTAACAGGCATTAAAGAACCATGAACATGAGTTTGTAAAGTTGTGCATTATTAGCACATTATACATTTGCAATTATTGGTGCTTCAGACCACCCGAATACTATTAAATGATTATCCCAAATTATATTTTTTTAATTTCAGTGATTTAACTACTAAAGGGAACATTCTCTCCAATGATTATGTTCTACAGTTTGCTGCATTCCATAATTAAAGAGGGCTAAAGACGTGCTTGACTGTCTCTCTCTGTTCTCTGGTTGCAGCCACAGTCGTCTAGCTCCAGCGCATAGGCTTAAATGTTCAGCACTACACCACTGTACTGCCAGAGAGGAGCCTGTGTCTTGTTAGATGGAAAGATCAATTATGTGAACATGCGAACATGTACAGGGCTTTGCGCATCAGTTTGAGCCCCATCAGCAGGTGGCCAGTTCACCTTCACAGGCTGGTCAATGGATCTCCCATCCTGTAACTCTATCTCCTCTATCTCCATCCAACCAGTTAAAAATTCATCACTGGTTTTCAGGACCTCCTTGCTCACTGATAATTTGATTTGAGTTGATAAGTTCTCCGCTGATGTTCTGTTCAAAGCCACTCGGAGGTGACATTGATGACAGCCTGTTTACAGGTAATAGATACACTGTACATGCAATGACTACAGGCCTTCATTCAGAATCTACACTCGAGCAAGTGCATATAAGTGCATTCTGGTTATATATTTCAAGACATTATGTACTGTACATTATTTATTATGGTTGATTCATAATAATTAATTGTAAAATTACAAGCCTGTGCCACTACAGTTTCAAGTGCTCACACTCTAAAAAAAATGCTGGGTTAAAAACAACCCAACATGGTTTGTTTGGCAACCCAGCACTGAGTAAATATTGGACAGAACACATGCTGGGTTATTTCGACCTAGCTGGTTGGGTTAAATGTTTTTACCCAACATGCTAGGTTGTTTTATTTAAGTCAACTAGCCTATTGTTTAAAAATTATTATATTGCTGGCTTAAAATTTACTGGAAATTAATAATCACACAGAATTACTAGAGGCAACAGCAATAATCAAAGGATGAACATTTATTATTAAGCAAGAACACATGGACAAGATACAGGACAAATAGAATTTATTTGGGTGAATACAGCATAGTTTATATACATTTAAACTAGTTTAACAAGCATTTTAGACATAAAAATGTAACATTTAAAAGTAGTATTTTAATTTAGGTGTATTCAACCGTTCTCTGTAATCGCTTTTTACTGAAATAGTGCTAATTTGCGTGCCGGTGTGTCGCCGAAATCTAAGCCGGTGAAGGGCTGCTGTTCGCTGGGGGAACTATGAACTTCAGACCGCAGCCTCGCATTTCACTCGTAGCTGAAAGATGCCGTGACTCCATAACCTGCCCATAAACAAACAGTACTGAGATTAGAGAACATTTTAACATCAAATTAAACTAATTATAACAAATAAAATCCATTTTTGTTATGCAAGGCAAAAGGCATTTCCATCGTGTGAAACGACCACCGCTGACGCAGCTGTCTGACACCTTGTCCTTATGTTGCGTTGCGTAAAATAATACAATTTACAGAACAGTAAAGACTTTATAAATGAAATAAAATGTATACAAACCTTTATTTCGCTGAAGAAGTGCACCAAATCGGCGGCACTGAGAATCGCTCTCTCCTGTAGTGGACTCAAAAAGCCTATGCTCTGACTGTAACTCAGCATTTGGGTTGTTTCTTTGGAGACAGGCTCAACCCAGCGGTTGGGTAGAAAAAAAATAACCCAGCATTAAAAATGACCCAGCAGCTTAGTTACAGAAAAACTACCCAGCACCTGGGTAAAAAATATTAAAAATAACCCAATAAAATGACCCAACAAGCTGAACCCAGTATTTGGGTTAAAAAAAAAAAAATAACCCAGCACCTGGGTAAAAAATATTAAAAATAACCCAATAAAATGACCCAACAAGCTGAACCCAGTATTTGGGTTAAAAAAAATAAAATAACCCAGCACCTGGGTAAAACATATTAAAAACAACCTAATAAAAGGACCCAAAAGGCTGAACCCAGCATTTGGGTTAAAAAAAAAATAACCCAGCATTTTTTAGAGTGCGGGTTTACAACATGTAGGGGTGGGCGATATACCGGTAGAAATTTGTCAACCAGTAGAGATTTTGGACTGTCGTCTCTATCGTGGTTACACATTCACGTAACACTGCTGTGCTACGTGGTCACGGAAATGAGCATTGTGGTTTAAAAATAAGTCATTTTAAGCCATTAAAATGCAATCAGCAGCAAAAGACAACTTATTTCACTAGAATATGCGCGCGCTGTCTGAGAAACTGTTTCTGAGCGCTGTCAGAGAGGTGCGTGCATATGAAGACGGTGCTCATAGAGCACGGGAGTATTGAACTAAGTTGTTTTTGCCACTTTATAGGCCTTGAATGGTTAAATACACACACTCTTAAAGTGACAGCAGTTTAATATTCCTGATGTTTTTCACCATTTATATTACATTGGGTATTGGGGTGAAGAGTGAAGCTTTTGCGTAACGTGAGGACGGGTACATAAGGAGTATGCTTTAAGGAGCAGACTTATCATTTAACATGCTAAAATGTGCTATTTCACGCTAACAGTTCATTTGCTAGCTAGTACTATCCCTGATAGCACATGTACATCTCAGAGACGTCTATTTGATGTGCGTTTAGTTTACATCTGGAAGATGTATTTTTTAGAGTGTTCATTTATCTGCAATACGTCTCTAGGATGCTTCCTGTCAGATGTTAAATAGAAATTTAGAAAATGTCTTTAAGATATTTGATGTTTGAATGTATGTAAAACTCATTTTTTAAAAACGTTTATTAGGTGTTTGTACACAACAGATGCTTTCCAGATGAAGTGCTATTTAACAGACATCTTGCAAATGTATGTGCATCTGGGAACTTACAATTCAATGATGTGACAAAAAATATATATATAAAATTAAATCCTGTCAGGAAACCATATGAAATCACTGCTTAATTTGGTCTCTTCAAAATAACTTTGTTTACGTTAAAGTTATGTGAACCAATTCTGTTTATTAAATCATGTAAATTCAACACACATTTTTGTCAGTGTGTGATGAAAACATGGTGAATAACTTGCCTGGAGGATATGGTACAGTAGGAATGTCTCGCTTGATTGGTTTCTTCTGGGAAATGTTGTGCCTTTTCATAAGCGTTGCTGTCCTCTTCTAGAAGGTTTTTAAACGTTTTTTTTTTTTTTTGGAAACCATAAAAAGGTCTTTTAAAGCAACATCTTTGTTTTGTGCCAGTCATAAATTGCCTCTCATCCTTCAAATAAGAATCAAAAGCTCACTGAATAGCTGTAATTATGAAAGCAGTCTGTGTCCTTGACTGTGTGGTCTTATAGTAATTGCTCAGCACTGTAACCTTGGCTCTTTGCAAACTCAAAAGATATCGAACAAAAGACCCAGGTGGTCTTCTGATTGATTCATCGGGCTGAAGGTACTGTAGTGCTGTATCCAGGCTGGATTACATTCTCTCTTACTCTCTGTGTGTGAGTGGGAGTTACAAACAAAGACTGCTACAGTACATATATATGTAGCCTATGGCCCAGGTTACACATAATGAAAACACAACGAGTTCAGATTTATTCATAACTGTGCTGCTGTGCTGACCACAGGGCACAAATACAATATACATCCTTAGACCAGTTTGAAACATTAGAAAGTACATTTATGCATCGCAGTACATTTATGCATTATATTGAAACACTTTATCATTGATTGGCATTAATCAGCATGATTGCATTTAATTTTACCATGTGACTTAAACTATTTGCTATTTTTTTAGGAACCTTGGGAAATCTGGCTTACGGGTATCATGTCTAGGGCTGGGTGAGTAAAACAAGCTATGCTATGTGTACTATCACTGTTAGTCTCTTATAAATATCAGAAATTTAGATTAGCTTAGGATTCACTGATACAGTATATAATACTGCATGTGTCACTCTGACATTACTTTATACATTCTCTCTTCAGGCACATGGGTGACGTTTGGTGGTCAAATAACAGATGAGGTAGAGTTTTCATGGATTGTTACTCTGTTTATTCACAAATTACTGGGCAATAACATTTAGCATGCTAGCATGCTTTTGCAGCAAAGCATAAAAACCTGAATAAACATAACACGAACACTATGCTTTAAAGGAATAGTTCACCCCAAAATGAAAATTCTGTCATCATTTACTCACCCGCATGTTGTTCCCAACCTGTATAAGTTTCTTTCTTATGTTTAACACGAAAGAAGATATTTTGAAGAACCAAACAGTTCTTGGTCCCCATTGATTTCCATAGTAGGGAAAGAAATATTATGGAAGTCAATGGGGACCAACAACTGTTTGATTACCAGCATTCTTCAAAATATCTTCTTTTATGTTCAACATAAGAAAGAAACTCATACAGGTTTGGAACGACATGAGGGTGAGTAAATTATGAAAAAAAGTTCATTTTTGGGTGAACTTTCCCTTTAAGTGTAGCTTTAATCAGCCTCTACTGTACAGTAACTAAATAGCAGCACAGAATACAGTACAGATAATTACAACCATGTCATTTGAGGTTTGTACTGCTGAAGACAACATAAAGCTATAATGCCCTCTCAGCTGTCCGTTTTCTCTCCATCTGTGATCTGTCCCCATCTCTCCTCTCTCTCTGTCTTCTCTCAGATAGCTGAGCAGCTGATGACGCTGGCGTATGAGAACGGTATCAATCTGTTTGACACAGCCGAGGTGTATGCGGCAGGGAAGTGAGTACTCTTTACTGATTTCCCATCATTCATTGCTGCTGCTCATCATGAGCGATAGGGATTTACACTTATATATGAGGAGATTAGTAAAGTATTAACTCTAGTTTAGCAACATTATTATCTTTTACAGGACTGCATAGACCTACTTTTCTCACAGATCTGATGAATCTAAAAATGCTTTCAGGAAGCCAAATCATTGTTTGCTATTAAAATGTCTTTAAAATGTTTTTACTATACTGTAGCTTTTGCAACAAGGTTCGTGCTGCTTAGCAAAGATGTGACACAATAGTCAAGATTGTCGAGACCAAATGTTAAAGTTGAAGAACAAGATTGAATTCTATTCTGGGTATTTGGCAAGGATGTGTTTTCCTAAATGTCCATAGAGGGTATGGCCCTGGAGAAGGATCTAATAAATTCAATAGGTATTCATGTATAAAATGTATTATTACTAAAGGTGATATATATATATATATATATATATATAACACTTTTAGTATTAATGCATTTTATTATATATAATTAATCAATTTTTATTATTTTTATTTATTTTTATTGAAATACTTTTTATATTTATTTAAATTAAAAATGTATTATATTTGTATTTATGTATTTGTTCATTTTATGAGTTGCTGAATTGTTATACATTACACTAACATTCATACTTACTACATAATGCTGTTTACTGTATACTTTAGGTATCTATGTTTAAGATGACCTAGTGAAAGAAGTTAGTGTTTTGTCAGCAGAATTCATTTGTGCAAGAAGAGAAAAAAAGATGGAAAGCTAAATAGCCAAAACCTGCTAGCTTGCAGTAAATATAGCAGTGACGTCTTTATTTTCTGCAATGCCATGGAGCTGTAACGTCAGGGAATTGCTGATAAAGTTGAGCGGAAATAGCCTGACTCAGTGGAAATCCACTCAACGGTAAAAAAAAAGGCACTTTAATGAGGCAGACCTCACGAGTGTTAAAGGACATAACCTTATATATGTCGTTTGTGTGTGTGTGCGGAGTGTTTTTGTTGCATTTTTCATGTTTCATGCCATGTCAAGCTGGCGATGAGGCTCGTGCAGAATGATGAAGACAGCACTGTAAATACTTCAGCACAGACGAACTACCCGACCTTTATTACTTATACACATACACTCGCCGTCTTCACAAACGGTGGATTTACTCATCTAGACTGCTAGTTAAATAAAAGACGAAGACTAGTACTGTTTGTGAGTTTGTCTGAGGACATCTGCTGCCCTCTTGAGCCCACGTTACAATAGCGCTTCATTTGTTACAAGCTGTCACAAGGACTCACATTCTTGCAAAGGGATGACGAGGCCTGATGGGAGAACCATTCATGAAGAACACATTGGTCCTTAGGGCAAAAATGTAACATCTGTCATTAGAAGCTCTCCCTCCCTTCCAGTCTCTCCCCTTTTTAAAAATCTGCTCACAGGAGGAAAAAAAACATGAAGTATTTTGTCTGTGTTTACACTGGGTGTTCCTTTCATATGGCTGTAAAGTGAATGCTTCATTAGCTTAATTCCCCGGAAGCTGAGAACAGGGAATCCCCCAGTGTAGAGGACGCTTTTGCTCACCAACTGTGATGTAAGTGAGGAGGAGAAGGTTTAGGCTAAAATAATTGATAATTGCTTCTCGCTTTCTTGCAGGGCTGAAATGGTTCTCGGCAGTATCATCAAGAAGAAAGGATGGAGGTAAACATATTGATTTGCTGTTTTTAAGGGTTCAGAATATTCTCAAACTCTTATTTGATGTGATGTGCTATGTTTGTGTGCTGTTTTCTCCTCTTCAGACTGTCAGAATAACTGCTGACTTGATGCTTGCTTGTACCTTGCAGCTCCTGTTAGTTTGTGAATGACTAATGTGGAGTTTGCACTTAAGGGGACATTAACTTTTATTCATTCATTCACTGTATGCAAGCACTGAGGCGAAAAGCCACTTTCCCCCGGGGAAAGATGTCTAATTTTGGACCCAAGTTTTCGCCCTTTTTAGAAACATGGCATGACTGCAGTTTCAAGTATTCAAAAAGTCTTCTCTTGGGAGAGGAGAATATTTTAATGTGAAAATTCTAAAAAAGCAGCATATCTAGATAATCTTCTGCAAAGAAGTGTACTTTTCTTTAACAGAAATGATATTTAAAATTCAAAATTATTATATTTATTCTAAAATAAGAATGTTATTTTAGGGTTAACATTGTAATGCATTTAATGATTTTAATAAATTAT